TGTTGTGTTTACAATGGCACTGCCCCCTAGTGACTTTAATACTAAAAACTCTACATTCTGAGAGGATCTCTTATGTTTTATTTTCTCTGTTATTATTTCTTCCTTGAATATCATTATTGAGAAAAACTAAAAGTTATAAATGTGTTTTCATTTTGTGGAGCTGAGACGCTTCATTTACCACCCCATTTATCAACGAAACCAGAGTTCAAAAGCTTTTACTGTCCTCGAAATGTAAAGGTTGTGAATATATTATGATGCATTGTGCATGTATTTGCCCTCCCACATTCATTTACATTTTTTAAAAACCAGACTGCGGCAACAATCACACTCGCTCACTGTTCCTATTTGTCAGATTGCCATAACAAGGATAATCACTCAGTTTTAATCTTCCGGTAAATTTCACCTTCAGCTGCCTCATTCTCAATGACCCGTAAACATTAGTTTGATTACTGGACATCCAGGGGAAAATAAATGAAGCCTCTGCCAATGAATGCCGCTGCCAATAACTCAAACACCCCATGTTTGGTGGTGGAAGGATGAGTAAATCCAAACAAATGTTTCCTGTAAATGTGCAGTTGCCTTTCAACCCTGCCAAAGCAATCATTCTGCGTCATTAATTTTCACTTTACTGGTGGTACTGTCAGCATCGCCGCAGCAGCCATTAGATCTTCACTGAATTGTTTTGTTACATTTTATAGTCTTGTTGAATAGAATGGGGCTCTATATGAAAGGACACGGGAGGAACTGTATTCAACACAAATTCACACTGCTGACTTTAAATAGCAACACTCTTGGAAGTATCAAGCCAGTGTGAGTTATAGGGTGTAGTTTTTTAACATCGGGGTTGATGTTATGGTCCGCAACACACCAGATATAAGCCAGACAGGTACCTTTCATTTCGTCCTACACAAATCGTCAAGGAACTGGTTGGACTGCACATTGCAAAATTCCAAACAGTGTTAGACCAGTCTGAATAATCTCTGAATTTAAATTAGACACATTGCTGCAGAGGCAATAGCCTTGGTAAAGCTTACTTTAATTGGAAGCGTTTGTCAGGATTGTATCTAACTATGCAATCAGTCTTTTTCATCTCACTCATTAGTATGCCATCCTTTTACACTTGTCAATTAAATGTGCACAGGCATCATGTGGATATTTGCATGTTTGAATTTATATTTAATCAGATGTGTGTGATTTGTTCCATGTTTTAATTTTCATGATAAACACACAAGCATGTACCACGTAGTGCTTCCTCTGTATCCGGCTCCTGTGCTGTGTCCTCAAGACTCAGCCCATGATTTGTGTTTAACTTGATATTAATATTTTTATGTGAAAGATTTTTAGTCCCTGGGGTTTTTTTTGTGTTGCAGCACCTATAGGCCTGTCGTGCCCAGGATTAAAGCCAATAAAGATAAGGTAGGTTTTACAAACACACACACACACACACACACACAATTCT